TCTGGGATACAGAACAATTTATCCCCATGTTACTGCCACCCAAGTGCACATTGTCTGGCCGACCAAGAAAAAAAAGAATCAATACAGAAGAAGCAGCAAGAAGGATAAATGTTGCCTATGGGAAAGCTGCACAAATTATGTCAAGTGAAGCTATCATGAGCAATGGTTTAGAAACACCACTTGTCGAAAGAGTAAGTAAACGGGAACAAGTCAACAAGTGTGGCTTTTGCAAAAAATTTAGGCATAATAGAAGCACATGCAAAGAGGTAACTTGTGGTAATTCCTTTAGATTCATTTATTACAATAACTATAGCTATTTTTTCATTTCTTTCTAGGCACCTCCCTTAAATAAGCCTCGACCTGATAGAAGGAGGAAAACAGCCGACCACGACATAACACAACAACCATCCAATCCTACTCCACCTTCACAGCAACCACCTAATCCCACTTTACCCTTCCCAAAATTGACAAATCATCCTACATTAATACAACAACCCCCTAAACCTTCCAAACACATAGCAAGAAAGAAGGCTGTCTACAAACCCAGAGTAAATCTACAAACCAAGGCGTAAGGATTGATGAGGCAACTGGGAGAATCATGTACAATGTAAGTATTACTGGTCTCTTCCATTTTAATTCATGTAAACTTACTATCATTTAAGTAATGTCACTGATTTGTGCAACCTAGAATGCATTCTGAGGTGGTCATTGAGGAGGGTAGTGCACAAGAGTATATGCATCACTATGTGGACCCTAAGAGTAAATTTTCAATCCCAAATGAGAAAGAACTTCGACTGTCACGAGCTTTAAAATGCACTGCACTAGAGGGTTCTAGAAGGATACCATTCACTAGGCAAGGGACCACTGTTTCACAGCCATTAAAACTAACATTTAAACCTCCTGGGTTGATGTGGAAGGGCCAACGAAGCATTTCAAGTACCCACCTCTAACTGCAGAGCCAAATGATGATAACAAGAAGCAAGAGCAACTTTAAGAGCTTTAACATTTAGGTTGCCTAGGAACATTTGCGACTATGCATTTGACTATTTTGTACTATGTATTTTGTTACTTGCCTTTTACATGGGACTATCACTTCTTAGGTCTATATTTTGGTAAATCAATGCTTAATCTTTTAGATGGATGCCTTCTTATTTTGCGAGTCCTATGTGATTTAACTCTTTTAGCAAAATTAGTGGCATGTACAAATGTCCATTATAATTAATTAAGGTTATTATGTTATGTTACATCTTCACTTCCTCATTATTAATTAGGTTACCTTTACATCTTATTTAATTTATATGTTCTTCTCTTCTTTCATTTCAATTAACATTATTGCCATCAAAATTACCACCAAATGCTCCTCTCTTATTATATAATTGTTGGATCAATAATTGCTTCACCTCATGAATAATTTTTTCATCAAATACACTGTCAAGTGGTCCATAATCGTTACAAAATAGCTATCATAACCCATATCTCCTATCATACAGATCTATTGCAATAAATTTTATACACTTCTACTTTGTCAAATACAAAACAACTACCACAATTGATATCATTATAAACACTAACATTGCTCTTCTAAACTTGTTTTCCCTTTTCCTCACTTCTACATCATTTAGCTCATGTCTATGTTTAAGCTTCTTTAATTCACTATGAATTACATTAAGCTCTTAGCTTAGTATCCACTCATGCTTTCCTCTTTGATTCCTGCTACTTTCATCATATAGTCTGTCAATATCATCTAATGGTTCCTTGATCATAGTGTTTGCCCTCTCACCAAAGTCCCCATCATACTAAGAGAAATAGCCACATTTCCCATCCTGTCGTGTTCAACACTAACATATCAACCATGGAACTAGGGAACAAAATAGCATTTTTCATAGGAAGAAAACCACTTCATACCTGGTCATAGTTTGGGCAGCCATAAAACCTCCTACCTAGGTTACTATCAATCCATGCCGTCCATCGGGGAGCTACCAACCCATGATAGCAATACCTCATCAGCGGTTCGTAATTGTCCTCGTGACTAGGTTGCCTCAACAAAGCAACCCTTCTCCTGTATCTTGTCATCGACGAGGATGATAATGATGCCATGAAGTTCACTTTTGGACCTCACTTCTTCTTCTCCCTGCATCTTTGCTTTTGTCCTTCTTTGATGGGCATAAATGTGGTTGTAGGGGAAGTGGGTTCGGATTTTAATGGAGTTATTGAACTCTCTACCTGCCACATTTGAAATTGTCCAAAGCATAACACTTGCCAGGTGGAGAAAGATGTGGGACCCACTTACACAAAATGGACAGACTTTTGGGCCTTTAAACGGTTGTGGTTAAAAAGCCCTCCTTTTTAATGTTTATGTCTGCTTTAGCGTCCTTCAAAAGTGAATGGTGCCAATTGCTCTTTGTGTAAAACATGATTGTTAGATCCGCATTTTTACCCTTCTATTTATTTTTGATGTCATAACAACCTTATTTTGAGGGAAATCAATTTTTTTTCCCTTTTTAGTAACCTTAATCTTAAAAGATACTATTTACTTGAAGTTATAGTATAATTGGGCAATGTGCCCCTACAACCCACCTTTAAAACAAGACCAACATTTTTACCTATGGCACATTCTACATCTCAGCCATGAGTGGGATTGCCAAACCCTTTTCTAAGACAACTCTTTTCCTTTTTGTCATATTTTCAACTATTCAAGTCATCTACTGCTTCAAACTTTCTACACTTGATTTTTCTTGTTTAAACGCTACTCTAGCTATTTCCTCTAATTTTGTATCCTCTCATTTTCTCTAAGATTGCATATGTTATCAATCAATTGAATTTCTTGTCTTAGCATCCTTTCTCCCTTCCTATGTACAATATCTCAAGTCTGGAAGAAGTATTAGGCAACATCACTTTCAATTCTACTAAATAAGACAATAAAAAAGGAAAGAAAGAAAATGCACATGTTGATATTTACTTACCATGACCTCTAAATAATTTATAAAATAAAGAAAATTAAAGGGATAAACAAATGGCCACCTGACATTACTACTTTGACACCAAAATGTAACACCATCCTATCACCTCTACACTTAGCCTACAATTTCAAACCTTTAATCATATGAATCCTAAATAAACATGTCCAAGGGCTCCTCCCTTTTTCATATCATTAAAGTCAAATATACACTTCAACAAAAGAAACTTTAGAATAGCTTAAGCGCATATATAAATAATATAAGAAAAACAATCAATGTCCTATGGTCAGGGCGGACAAAATAAATGTTAACTTAGGGCCTATTTGGGTGACTCCCAAAACCATGGTTTGGGAGGCAAAACCATAGTTTGGGTGGAGTGTCACCCAAACAGTATCAATTTTGATGCCATAATCTGAAATCATGGTTTGGGCCAAAACCATGGTTTTGTGAACACAGTAATATAAAATTAACATCTTAGCCTCCTCCCCGCTCATTGGCTGCTAGTGAGGGGGTTGACTGAGACAGCTTTTTATTTTATTTTATAACATTACGCGCTATAGAGAGAGGGTAATGTTATAAATGATTAAAGTTCATCTAACACTTTAAATTTTTTTTAAATATATCTCATACCTTAAAGTATTTTGTGATGTAATCTTATCCTTAAAATATTTTTTTAGAAACAATTTTAACCTTAATGTCAACTCTCCAAAAAATTTATTAAATAAAGATGCATTCAATACCTTAAAATACTTTTCAGTAATACTCAGCACCCAAAAATTTTTTTCCTGCAATTTTGCTCTTAAATTTATTTCCAATTGAATTAAAAATTATTAAAGCTTGGGAAAATTCCAGATAAAACCATTTGAATATACATAATTCCAGATTGGGTCCTGGAATTGTCTAAATGACAGAAAGGGTCAATGACCCAATCTGTCATTTTTAAAATTAAGAGCAACTGACAATTTTGTCCTTATTTGTATTCATTCACTACAATAATTTAAGGAATTACTATAAGGGTTTAGGTGTTACTTACATTCATGTAGAGAATAACTATTTATTTTTTCGTAGTCAGGAATGCCTCATAAGAAGGTGCCTTGTTATTAACTACAACTAATCATGTAATCACTAGAATAGTATAAGCATTACCTAGATTTGTTTAGAGAATAACTACTCACTTTTACTTTCATTTGTATTCATTCACTACAATAATTTAAGGAATCACTATAAGGGTTTAGGCATTACCTAAATTCGTGTAGGGAATAACTATTCATTTTTCGTAGTCAGGAATGTCTCATGAGAAGATGTCTTGTTATTAACTACAACTAATCATATAATCATTAGAACAGTATAAGCGTTACCTATATTAGTTTAGAGAATAACTACTCACTTTTGCTTAATCAGGACAAAATTGTCAATTGCTCTTAATTTTAGAAATGACAGATTGGATCATTGACCCTTTCTGTCATTTACATAATTCCAGGACCCAATCTAGAATTATGTATATTTGAAGGGCTTTATATGGGATTTTTCCTTAAAACTTTCCAAATGGAAAGCTCTACTCCACCTTTATTAAGTAATCAAAATAAATTGAATATTAAGGTTGAAAACATGGAAAATAAGTTTATAAAATATTTAAGGTAATTATTAAAAAATTTTAAAACTGATTATTAAAAATGTTAAAAATGAGTGCTACAAATATGAAAAATGAGAATTAAAATATGAAAAAATGTGATTAAAAAAATATGTCAAGTGTAAAATTATATAAAAAATTACTTTAAAATGCTGAATGTTAAAAAAAAAAATATTTTAAGCACTGCAGTAGATGTATTTTTACTCAATGGACTTTTTGAAAAGTTAGCAATAAGATTAAATTTGCTTCTCAAAAAATATTTTAATCCTACTATAAAAATGATAAATGTTTTAAAATTTCATTTTGATATTGAATTGTTTGAGATTTTTCCAAATATTCATAGCATTTTTCCAAAATTTTCCCTTATTAAATAATAAGAAAATAAAACCTCATCTCAGTGTTTACGCCAGTCTCATCTCCGTCTCCAGAATCGCCGAGCTCCACGAGAAATGGTGACGTCCTTGAGATTACCCTCTCTCACTCACCTCTTCTCCTCGCCTTCTATCGTCGCTATTTCTAGTGTTTCTGGCCGGTCATCGGTGATTCTCCGGCGTCGCTTCCACGGGCTTTGTCACCGGTCGCGGTCACTTGCTGCTGGCTTCTCCACCCAAAGCACGGCGGCGGAGACCCAAGACCGAATAGATAGCTTGAAGAACCGAGTTCCCGATCAAGTTATCACGCCCAGGTCACAGGATTTCAATGCATGGTACCTCGATGTTATAGCCAATGCCGAGCTTGCTGATTATGGCCCAGTTCGCGGGACCATGGTCATTCGGCCTTATGGCTACGCAATATGGGAATCGATCCAGGTTCGCTAATGAAGGAATATCTTTGTTTATCTCTTCATCTCGTGCAATCGACGAAGATGATTTATTCAATAATGTTCATATGGTTGTGAACATTTGGCGGTTCAGTCATTTTGCCTCGTTGCTGCTTTTTAAGTTTGCAAGGCAGTTAGAATTCCTAAAGTAACATTTTTTGGTCTCCCCTCTATGGTATGGGGTGTGCAGGAGTATTTAAATGTGAAGTTCAAGGAGACTGGACATAGTAACATGTATTTTCCACTGGTGAGGTTCTGAATTCTTAATGGTGCTGATTTTATGTTGATGGGAGCGAATATGGAGCAACTTGTTAGGTTATGGGTATATTAAGATTTTATAAGTGATACTGTTGTTTTGTGTGGTCCAAAGGAAAGAGGCTAATTTCTGGTTTATGTTGTTTCGTTCCCTTTCCCTTTCTAAAATTGCAATTGGGCCCAGTAATTTTAGATAACACTCCTCCATATTGTTGGCTGCAGCATTTGCCATATGTTACTTTACAAAACCAATGTTCTTTTTATTAACCACACTATTAATCAGTAAAGAAACGATGAAAATGTTGAAGAGTTTATACAAGTATCTCTCATATTATCTATTCCATTTTCCCTTTGTTGTTGCAAGCTAAATCATATCACTTTGTGATGTGCGTTAATTTTCGAATTCGATAGTAATGCAAAGATCTTGTTAATGTAGTACACGATAGAAATTAAAGTTTACTACTATCAAATATCAATAATTTGTTTAGTGATTTTTATCCAATCTGTCCTGCAGTTTATTCCATACTCATTTATAGAGAAAGAAGCTAGTCATGTTGAGGGTTTTAGCCCTGAGTTAGCACTAGTGACAATTGGAGGAGGGAAGGAACTTGAAGAAAAACTCGTGGTGCGTATACTTTTCACTTAATTGTTACAATTGTTTTCAGATAAATATCTTTTCATTTTATGTTCACTTCAATCTACAACTGAATTGAGGCAGTTGCTCATATGTGGTTCTATAGTGCTGTGACCTAAGTTTTGGCTTTGATGATTTTTGTAATTCTTGAGGTTGTGGCAGGTCCGACCAACTAGTGAAACTATTGTCAACCACATGTTTACTCAGTGGATTCATAGTTACCGTGATCTCCCTCTTATGATTAACCAGGCAAGTGCTTTGCATATATGATCATTTTCTTTTTTGTAGTGAAGTGCTTTGTATATATGATTAGAATTTAGAAGACTGTTTTTATATGATGAAACAATGCCTTACCTTGTCTATTCTTCTGTGAAATGAATGTGGCTCAGTGGGCAAACGTCACAAGATGGGAGATGCGAACTAAGCCATTTGTGAGGACTCTGGAATTTCTTTGGCAAGAGGGTCACACTGCTCATGCAACTCCTGAAGAGGCAGAAAATGAGGTCTGCTTCTTAAGGCATCAAAACTAAAAATGCTTTTACTACTTTAGCAGAACACTTTTTATTTCATTAAATAAAGATTAGCTGTTCAACTGCAGGCTAGACAGATGATTGACATCTATACCAGATTTGCTTATGAGCAAGCTGCAATACCTGTTATTGCAGGTCGAAAGTCTAAAGTGGAAACATTTGCTGGTGCCTCTAAGACTTACACAATTGAAGCCATGATGGGTGACAAGAAAGCATTACAGGCAGGAACCAGCCACAACCTTGGGCAGAATTTCTCCCGTGCCTTTGGAACACAGGTAGTTTTTCGCTTGAAAAACAAATATATTATTTGACCTTCAGATGTATTTCTGAGACCTTGTAGTTTGAAAATAATAAAGTTGTTGATGTAGGAGAGACAGAAGCAAGTAGAAACACAGAAGACTGGGAAAGAGTAGGCAGAAATAGAAGAAAGATGAGATGGAAGGAAGAATAATGGAAAATGAATAGTAATTTCATATAATTTAATCCCCACTTCTCCTAGAACCACTTGGTAGAAAAGCCTAACTTTTTCTTTTGACCAAATGGAAAAGACTAACTTTATGGTTTCTAGTCCTAACTAGAAATTTCACCCCGTGTATATTACACGGATTAGTATATTTGATTAGATTTGAAATTCTAATAGATTGCATTATTTTATGTAGCTCAAGAATTACTTAAAATAGACTGTATAATCATAATAGATAATTAATCAAACCCAATTTTGATTCTATTAAGCCTCCAATTGAAATTCAATTCAATTATGATGCTCTCCGTTTAATTCAATGTATACAAATCCCAATGAAGATATTATTCAAATTCAAAATCAATTATTAATTATTAATTTCTTCATTTGAGCTTCTAATTGAAATCGCATTTAATAATTATGCTCCTCATTCAATTCAATATAGGGAGAATTATAATGAGGTTCCAAGAAAGAACAATAATTACAAAACAAGTCCTAAAAGTTATCATTTTCTATTTTGGAATTTGTCAGTACAAGCTGCTTAGGTTGTTATTGGGATTTTTTAGTAATTATTTTCTTTCCTTGGGACCTCATTGTAATTCTCCCTTCAATATATTCAAATCCCAATCAAGATATTATGCAAATTCAAAGTTAAGTATTAATTTTTTCATTTGAGCCTTCAATTGAAATCTCATTTAATAATGACGCTCCTTGTGTAATTTAATATTTTTAAATCCCAATTAAGACATCATTCAAATCCAAAATTAATCAATAAATTTTCTATTTGAGCCTCCAATTGAAATCTCATTTAATTATAATACTCTCCATTTAATTCAATATATTCAAATTTCAATCAAGATATTATTCAAATTTCATTATTTAAATATATTTAGATCCCATGATGTCATATCCGACCCATTTTTAAACAAATCGGGCATTATAAGATTTCAATGGTATAGTTGATAGTTGATATTAAATTTATATCCTTGGTGAATATAAATCTAATCAAATTAGAAAGATCTTGGTGTACTCAATTATAGTTGCTCACCCTGCTCACAACAAATTCTTTCTGTGCAAGTATGATACAATTCTGCAAACAAAACAAAGTCTTAATATTCTGAGCTATTCTCCATCGACTGCGTGCTTCATCAGTTTTGGTTGTGCCTAAATTTGTTGTCACATATTTTGATTGAACATCAATCCATAGAAAACATAGCCATCCGGCGTAAGACATAAATGAACCCTTTGATTGGTTGTTGCACGTTGTCTCAGTTAGCTAGTGCCAGTCTGACCTAGGAATAGCTTAAAATGCTTTTAAGTTGGAATCTTTTGGGGTATCAATCTCATTCATATTCTTAAAGTGTCTTATGTCTTCTGTTATTCATGTTTATTGATTGTTGATGATTATTGACTTGATCCTGTGATGAGGGTTGGCTTTACAAAATGCATCTTTGTGCAGTTCACAGATGAAAATGGACAAAGGCAACATGTTTGGCAAACATCATGGGCAATCAGTACCCGTTTTGTTGGAGGTATCATCATGACTCATGGTGATGATGCAGGCCTAATGCTTCCCCCAAAGGTTGCACCAATACAGGTACATTTCGATGTTATTTTACATCTAAAAAGATTTAATTCTTGGTTAAAAGTGGTTGATGGGATACTTCCACCTTGTTAATTCTATGAATGATGGTAACAGCAGACAATATGTCTACATCTGTCACAAACAACTTGCTTACTGAATATCTGGCAAATGAGTCGTTTTAATACATAGTTGAATGACAACTTAATGATTCCTTATTATTATTAATTCAGGTTTTTCTTTAGTGGGAAACTGTTCTAAACCATTATAACTTATGGGCTTTTTCATGGTATGCATGGCATGCTTCAGGTGGTGATAGTACCCATCTGGAAGAAGGATGATGAGAAAGTGGCTGTTGTCAATGCAGCATCATCTGTAAAAGGAGTTCTTCATTCTGCAGGGATTAAAGTTAAGCTTGATGACTCAGAGCAAAGAACCCCTGGATGGAAATTCAATTTCTGGGAGATGAAGGTTTACTTCTAATATTGGATATTCAACTTTTCTAGCTAATCTTAGTGGTTGTGTTTACTCCTGATATGTACTTATTCCAAGTTTTAAGAGTATCTGGTCAGATTCACCTTATTTAAACTCTCATTGCTTAGGGAGTTCCTCTTAGAATTGAAATTGGTCCTCGGGATTTGTCTAGTGGAACCGTGGTGATATCAAGGAGAGATGTTCCTGGGAAGCAAGGCAAAGTATTTGGAATCTCTATGGAACCTTCAATTTTGGAGGCTTATGTTAAAGAGAAGTTGGACGAAATCCAGTCCTCTCTATTAGAAGAGGCAATTGCATTTCGAGACAGGTTCCAGTTCTTTTCAACATGCCTTCATCTGACATCATTTGTCTCTATCTCCAGATCCAACTCAGTAGCTCGTATTGCACATGATAGGCGATTTCTGTCATCATTTTTAGCCTTTCACTGTATACAATTGCATGCACTTGCACATTCTTAACTTTGTGGACCAGCTGATTGATAAGCAAATTATTCTCCTTGCAGTAATATCGTAGATGTGAGCTCATATGATGATCTTAAAGAAGCAATATCCGAAGGCAAATGGGCAAGAGGCCCTTGGTCTGCTAGGTAGTATTGGTCATTCATTTCACTATTTTAATTTATTTTGGCTAGGAAACATAGATTCCAATATACTTATAAAGACTCAGAATTCTAATAAAAGCTATTAAAAAATGGCACAGTGATGAAGATGAGATTAAAGTCAAGGAAGAAACAGGGGCAACTATCAGGTGCTTTCCTTTTGAACAGCCAGATGGGGATAAGAAATGTTTGATGACTGGAAAGCCTGCTGAGGAAGTAGCCATTTTTGCCAAGTCTTACTGACTCTGCATCTTTAAGCTTGCTTTTACTTTGAAATTCTCATATCACATGATCTGGCAGTTGGTACTTCAACTTATTTTGTGAAAGTTTGGTACTTTCTTGCCGAATCAATTCTTGTTGTATAACTTAGGTCAGCTCAAAGCATATAATTTGTTGATTTGATGCAAGTTTAAAGCATTTTCTCTGTTGATTTGATGTAACTTTTTATGATCTTTAGAAATGTGATTATGTATATGCTTTCAGGAAGAAAGTATGTTGTAGTTGAATATCTTCGGATACCAAATTAGAAGAGCTGTGATGAAGGGGGAGGGGGTAAATGAAACCTGATATTTGATCTCAGTCAGTGTTCATCTTTAGCGTTGTTTTCAAAAGAAAATTTGGGTGTTGAACCAGTTCCGGCATTGGTTCAAGGTTGATTGATTTGAATGTGATTGAGTTGTGATATAATTGAATTCATATAATTTTTAATTATAATAATAAGTTATAAGTAAAAAAGTTCATACCAAATTTCGTAACTTAATATTTAAATGCAACTACGTTAGTATTTAGATATAATCAATTGAAAATTAAGTAATCAATAGTAATATTATTCATTAAATTCATGGTTATTAATAATTGTGGATAAGAATAGTGCTTATATGATCTTAAAATATGTAAAAAAAATCATCTTAAAACATAACATCAATTATGATTTCAAATGATCGAATCATTACTATTTTCAATTGATGGAAGCAGTACCCTTGCTATTCTACCGGTTCGTTTAAAAACAAAACATTGGTTCTACTAATTTTCTATTGATTCTGTGAAGGTTTTGATTTTTTTATTTTTTATTTTGTGTGAATAAGACGGGACTCAAAGGTCCAATTTTATTAAACCTTCACTAATCGTGGAATAGCTACTCCCACCCAATCAGCATATAACAACTTTCTTACAACCTGAGGAGGATTTTCAAAAATCATCTCCTCCACATCTATCTCAAATCTAATATATATATCAAAAATCTATCTCACATCTATTTCAAATCTAATATATATATATATAAAATCATCTCCTCCACATCTATCTCAAATCTATCTCAAAAATCATCTCCCAACAGCATTGCCTTCCCTATATATATGCTATATTCTAATATTCACAAATCTATCTGGCTCAGCTTTTACAATTTTCAATAAGCTAGAATTACAATCAAAATTATCAACTATATTAATCAGAATATTAACAACAGCTAGGGAATCACACTCAACAATCAAGTGCTTGATTCTGTAAAGGTTTTACTAGACTATTTCATCTACATGTTCACTGTTTCCCAGTTGAACTAGTGAATTTGGTTTGAGGCCGAAGGAAAAAAAAAAAAAAAACAGGTGAATATGGTTTTAACAATAATCATAGGAAGAATCTCCAAAAAAACATTTTGATTTTTAAAATTTTAAATCAGTTTCGTTTGCTATATTTTAATGATAATTGATAATATTTGAAAAGCAAATGATAATAAATTTTTATAGTCATTCTTGATTTGAAATTTTAAAATTTTAGAGGTATTTTTTTGGGGATTTGCCCATAATAATATTTAGATAGCTTCTTATTAGCATTAGCATTATTTGTATGAATAAAGTATATCTATCATTCAAAGTATATTCAGTTATTAATTTAAGTTGAACATAACTGAAGAGGACAACTTGCTTAATTTTTATTTTACTGCTATCCATAATTTTTTTTTTGGTAAGATTCTATTCATAATGGGGATACTAGCCTCCCCCCCGGGGGTGATTTGTTAAAACCTCATAGTATTTTGCGTGCACCTCTAATATAATCCAGGCTAATTTCTTTCTAGTCCTAACTATAAAAGTTAGGTAAAAAGTTCATATTTCAAAATCACTTTATCTCTCAAATTATAAAATTTATGTTCAGACTATTTCTATTGATTATATATATTAAAGAAAAATTTTTATGAACGAGAAAATTTTAAGAGAAAATTCTAATTAAATCTAATTGAAATAAAGTCGAGCCCTTCCACCATTGTAGGAAAGCAGTGATCCATATGATATAATGAGACTTCGTCTTAGTGGATAAAGGAGAAAACTAACTACAATTAATTACTCTTGTTTAATATGTGCACACTTTTAGTCATCTTCCAATATCACCCTTCCTTAATAAATTTATTAAATTAAAGTAGTTTGACCTCTCTCTAATGAATAAGGGCACTAGGAGTTAAGATTGCTTTTACAAATGTGTGAAGTTTGTTATAAAATGAATAGATAAAACTTTCTAATAAGTCTCTTATAAAAAGGATGTTAAAAAACCAAAGGTATAGAATAATCAATCAAAGGAATTCAATGGATTATGTTTGGATTGGAAATGACTTTTCTGGAGTTTCAAGTTTCATGCTTTGTTTGTTTAATGATTAAGCAGTCCAACACGTAATAAGCACATTTTAATGAAAGGTTGATAGATGAATGTTCTTATTCAAATAAGAGTATGATCTCTGGAGAATTATTAGTACAATCATTTCGATGCCATTTAAGCTTAAAAAATAAAACAGATGACTACAATAGCTTTTTAATGTGATGATCGACGTATAATAACTAGGCAATCTATCGATTCCAAAGAAGAAAGATCATGCTCAAGAAATTGGTTGGCTTTTGTTTATATAATTTACTCTACAAAAAATTAAGTTGTTTAGTACTCACAAATAATACTTTCAAGTAATTCTTATGATGTTTGTAATCCACTTACAAAATTAATTTATTTGACCTTAAAGTCTAGGTCAGAACATAGAATCACTGTATTAATCACAAATAATTTCTTTTTTAATCACATAAATTAATTGACTTCGTGATATCATTGTTTTATAAAATTAAAGACTTGGTTAATTATTAAGTGAAGACCCTTGTTTCATAGTAGTATTACCACCGATACTAATTATAAGACCCAGTTGACTAATTTGGAGAGATTAAGAAACTTAGTTAAGTTAATTATTTGAAATGAATAGGTATTATTTTTTCTAAAATATCCTTGCTAATCAAGTTTGTTATTTAGAACTACCGTTATTAAAGGACTATCTTGAAAAAAATGGATAAATATGAGAGACAAAGTAGATTCGGTTCTTATATTTAGGACCAAAATAGAAGTCAAACAAGATTTTATATTAAGGACCAGAGATAGTATTACATAATCTTAAAAAGGTAATTATTGTTTCATTCTTGAAGGGTCGGTAACGAATTTATTATTCTGTCGTCCTGATGAAGAAGAAGCTCCTATAAAACATCTCACTGTCAGAAGAATTTCAAGGTAAAGAAGTTGTTGTTTTCTTTTCCTTTCTTCACTTGAAATGCTAAAGATGTTTTGGTTGCATAAGTGGATATTCTGGGACTCAATATTTCCTAAACAAGGTCAAGAGTTCAAGTTTTATGAATAAAAATTAAAGGGACACAGAGAGTTACCCAGTATATACGAGCTCCACAAGTTAAAATTTAATTAGTGAATGATATTCCCATCAATTCAAAACATATGAGCTAAATAATTTGCAGAGATTAAAAAAATTAGTTAATTTTATTATTTATAAAAAATTTGTGCTGGTTTTCACTAAAGTGTTCTTTTTTTTTTTTTTTTGGTGATAACTAAAGTGTTTCTTTTAATCATTTGCATTGCGCACTCAATAAAAAAAGCTCCTTAATAGGAAAGATTTAGACAAAAATTACTCCATCTAGTACTAAATATTGAAGCTAATTGTAGGGTTTATTTTAGTCCTAAATAAAAACCTCAATTCACTGTTTTTTTCAACAATTTTATAAAATTTTTTTCCTAAATCATCCCTATACATCACATATATTAAAATGGGATTCCATCTATTAGGCAAATGATTAAGAAAGCATTTTAGAAAAACTAATACTTATTTGTTACAAATAACTAATTTAACTAATTTTTTAATAATAAATTAATTATTTAGCCCTATATTTAGGATTGGTGGAGTATAAATTCGGGAGCCAAAGTATAATAAGATCATATATTTAGTACTCTCTTTATTTGTTAGCTCTTACGTTTAAGACTAGAGGAAGTAATAAGTATAAGAAAACTATACTGAAAAAAAAAAAAAGGCATGACTTGCTTTTCAATTATACATACCTTATAATTTCGACATGCTTACTTGTCTCTGTTATACCACTTATAGTCCTTAACATAAAAGTTAGTTTGACATTCAATTTGATCTTAAATATAATACCACAATTCACTTTATCTATCATATTTATTTATTTTTTAAAATAATCTTGGAAATAGTTGCATACATTAAATGTTTCATCAAATGGTGGATTTAGCTAATTCACATGATTAGAAATGGTATTTTAGAATAACACATATTTATCACAAATAACTAATTTAACAAACATTTGTAATATATTCAAATTAGTTAACTAATTCTTATATTAGAGACAAGGAGTAGCATATGATATAGCTTGGTCCGTTTGTTTTATACCAAATTTGCTTTCAACTTTTCTTGTTCTTAATTAATTATATCATTAATTGATGATTAATTAGTCTACATGAATGTCTATAAACAGAGTGGTGAAGATTGGCCACTGTATGATATACTATAACTCAATTCAAGAAGGGTCAAGGCCACATGGCCGTTGTCATGAAAAACGAAAAGGATACAATAACTATTTCCACTGATGATGCAGGTCAAGGCAAGAATCTAAGGATTTGAACTCAGTAAGAGGTGGTAGTGATTAAGAATATAATCTATCTTAGCCACCGTCTATTTGCACCTTAAAAGTCATGCCATTTTGATTTTAGCTGCCCTAAATTGCAAATGGACTGTTGGGATGAGCTTTTACTATCTCTTACTGAATTTACCTTTTACTTATTAAGGGCCTGTTTGCTTAGCCAATACTTAGATCTAATTATCTGGAAAAATATCCAAACACCCACCATTTACATGCCAAAAGATACCACTATATGTACATGCCAAAATCAATTATATACTAAGAATCATGGTTATCTATTAAATCACCAAACGCTCCTGTACATGCCAAAATCAATTATAAAATAAAAAACCAAAAAAATAGTAACTTACGAAATAACCATGATTTTTTAAGTTCGCAAGTGATTTTGGCATGCATAAGCATGTTTGGTAACTTATAAGATAGCCATAATTTTGAGTTCATAATTAATTTCGACACATAGAGGTGTTCAGTTTTTGGGGCTCGCAAGTGATTTTGACATGTATAAAAGAAAAGTGTTTGGATATTTTTATGGTTTTAATTCTTGTAATCAAAATCCATAATGTCGTGTATGGAATCTGTGCTTGACGCTTCTTCATCTTTCACGGGAAGTTGACTCTA